TGGTCTTGAACTTCTGAGCTCAAGTGATTCTCCCACCTCAGCCTCCCAAAGTGCTGGGATTACAGGTGTGAGCCACCGCACCTAGCCTAAATTAGTTTAAATGAGCACAATTTTGTGGTGGTTTTCCTGCTGCACGCCTAACAGTCCGCAGTGGAAGCATGTTGTAGGATCCGGTTTTGTGTTACCTAAAAATGCTCTCACTTCCTGAGTTTTTACCAACTGGTAGAAATTATGAAACCAAAATTTTGGTTGATTGCTTATATCAAAGTAGTTCGAATAGTTTCAAGAAAGGCAGAGAAAATGGGATAAAACTACCTGGGAATCGGGTGTTTGCAAGAGCAGCCTTTGTTCTTTCCTTTGTTTTCCTTGTGACTCATGAAAATGGAACAGGTACAACGAATGTGCCTTGTGGCTGGAGAAGGCCAAACTAGACTGGAGCCAATGGATGGAAATTATAAGGCAGATGGATTTGGGGGTTCCATTAATAAGAGCTTTATAGAAACTGCTGCCTGAGAGACTGGGGGCAACCAGCTTCTGCTGAGGCCTGGGCTGCTGAAGGGACATTCCCAGACTGGCTAAGGACAGAGGGTAGGAGCCAAGTGACCTGTTGAACGCTAATAACCTCTGTGATTTAAAGGGCACTAACCACATGCTGGCCTCGAGTGTGTCTTCTCTCCCTCACTGCCTAACCTCATGGGAGAGTAATGGAGGAACTCACTGCCACCCTGTTTGACTTGCTGCTCACCCCTGAACTCCCCGCATTCCACGGCGGCCCTCCCCAGGGTCACCAGTGACCCACTGATGGCCAGATCTACTGGACACTTCTCACTCTTACTTAACCTTTGACTACAAGTGACAGTGTGACCACACCTTCTTCCTCGAAACCGTCTTCCTGGTTTCGGTGTTCCCATCAGGCCATGGTTTGCTTCCTGGGGCACTCTTTCATCCAGTAAGTGCATGACCGGAAAACTCTGGACACCTACTGTGCTCAGGAAACCGTGCTAAATGTTGCAGTGCAGAGATGAATAAGACAGAGTCTCCGCCCTGATGGGAATGATGGCATTAGAGGTTGTGATTTATTGAGAGCTCACCAACTGTCAGACACCTTTAGTGCTAATGTTCTGATTGCAAAGCCTGCATCCTCTCCACTCCCCGGTGCTGAACATCTCAGGATTTCCTTCACATCTCCTTGCTTCTCTCTACTCCTCAATGACTCTCTCATCAACACTGAGATTCCCAAATCTCTGTCCCCAACACAAACCTCCTTTCTGAGTGCCAGAGCCTTATAGCCCTTTTGACCTATTAGCTCCACCAGAAGGTGACACAGGCTCCTCAAAGTCCACATACTCACAATTGAATTTTTCCTCTTTCCCGAGAGCCTGGTGCTCCCGGGTCTCCCTTCACCAATGCCTCCACCATCCTCTTGCACTCTCCTAGACACCAAGTCGTCAGTCATCTTTATTCTTCCTGTTTTTCCACATCCACATCCAATCACTCATCCATCCATCTGCATCTGAAATTCATCTGTATATGTTCCCGTTTTTCCTTTCCTTCTGATCACAGCCTGGATCAAGCCCTCATTGTTTTTCTAACCTAGATGATTTCAAAATCTTCCCCAACAGTCTGTCTCCGGTGTCAGGTGCCCCCACTCAGCCGCCTCGCACCAAGCCATCAGATTGATAAGGTCATGGCACTCCTCTCCTAAACCCTTCCATGATTCTTCATGGAATTTAGGAAAAGTTTAAATTTCATGGTTTCCATTTCTTTGTATTTGTCTGCTCATTTGTCTCCCTAACTTGACTGTGAAAAATGTGGAAACATGAGTCTTGTTCCATTCATCTCTATATTTTAGCGCCTAGCATGCTACCTTACATTAAATACAAGAGTAGGTGATTTTTATTTCCACCAGTCTACTAAGGTTACTGAAATCGCCTACTATTTAATCATTCCTTAGAAGCATTTTGAATATATATATGTGGATCTATCTATATATATATATGTATATTACATATACATGTTACATGTTATGTTATATATACATATATTGTATGTTACATATATTATATGTATATTATATGTACACATACATAAATAATTTCACTAGATTAGGCATTGAGTAACCTGCTGCAGGGGTATTGTTTATTTTAATTAATCTAATCTCCCTTTACTGAAAACATTCTGTTAGTATCTCCTGCTCCCTGTCAGAGAGCAAGGATCCCAGAAAATGAGACTGGTGAGTTTCAATACAGGCAAATAGAAAGGGAATGGTTTGGACCAGAGGATGTGCAGTTGCTGGGGGAAGATGAGCTTTTAACTGAAGACCCCAGCCAATCAGGGACAATTGCAAGGCTGCATACCAATGCTTTGATTCTTCCGTAGATGACAGAAACATAGGCTACAGGAAGCATGAAGGGCTTCTCTGCCCAGGGCAACTCTGTATGCTATCCGACTGTCCCACTGCAAAGAGGCATCCTTTTATGTAATGAATTAACTTCTCTCCAACATATACAGAAAGGTCTTAGCTCCATACCATCTTTAGGAAAATTTAGAGAGTAGTCACTCAAACAAAACTTCTGTAGTTCAGGTGAGAAACCTTAGCTGAGCAAGTCTTGTTTAAGATTGATAGAATGAAGAATAAGAATTCAATCTACAAGACTATTCAGCCCTTACTTTATGGAAGAAAGTGGAAAAAAGAAGAGAATACCAGCAGTTTAGATAGCACAATATCTCTTTTCCTGTCCATGAATAACGGGGAATATGCTGTATAGTGTCCACCTTTGTTCTAAGAATCGTATGTCATGCAGCAGAACGTCGGGGGTGAAAGCAAGAGTGTGAGTGTTGCAGTGCATGGCATCACCACTTTCATCCACTTTGAGTAAGACCCAGAAGCAGCCACACCTGGCAGACAATGAAACAGCCCTTCCCAGCACAAAGTACAAGATCGAAATCTGCCTGCACGCTCAGAAAGTGCGGAGGAACAGCGGATCCTCAGGCTGGAATCAGACTGTCCCGTGCAAACGTCCTGCTGCAGGCAGGACCTTAGAGGCTTCCAGACCCCTTCAGGAACTCAGCTTCTTGTATCATGTTGTTCTGCTGGGAGGGAGAAATTCCTTTCTGACTCCTGCAAGTGATCAACATGTGCCCTAAAGCATGAAATGTGATTACCCCTTTTCATTATCTCAGTTTACCAAGCTACACTCGTTATCAGGGATGAGTCGGCAATTCTTTTCATGCCCTCAAAATATTATATGCCCCGGTTAACCACATAGAAAAAGCCTTGTGTCAATAATTCAGGTTCGATTCAGCAATAGAATGTTTTTCTTGAGACCTCATTTACAGTCAGATACCTCTGACCTCTATGGCAAGGCACTCATAGCTACCTCATGGGAAACCTGTTTGCCTGCTATAAGATAATGGTTTAAAAAAATATTTCAATAATTAAATACATGTAAAAATTGTATTTTGAGCTTTAAAGATAGCTTCTCAAAGAAAAAAAAAATTGCAGTCATACAAATATGTAGGCTGTACCAGAAAGTTTACATGCCAAGGCTTTGGATATTTTAGTGCTTATATGTGTGTGTGAGTGTGTGTGTGTTTGTGTGTGTGTGTGAAGTGAGAAGAGAAAATTAATTTTGCAAATTAGTACTATCAATACATACAAAAGAGGTGTAGCTCAACCTCAAAACAGGCTTACTGGTAATTGTCTTAAAGCAAATCTAGCAAAAACTATCCCCCACCATTGATACTACCCTGCAAGAATGAAATTATTCATAAATACTTTGGCAAATGCATTCAAACATACATCATTCTACATGTATAAAGACCTCACATCCCCCAACATACAACGTAAGAATAATGCCCCTCTGTTCTCTTAAAAGTGCTTATACAAGTATCAGCTCATTTGTGGTTCACTGAGTGTGAAACAATTACTCCCACAAACAGACCAATAGAAAGCAAAAATAGACTAGTGTGTATTTTTCAGTTTGTGGTCTCCTCTGGGCTGACATACAAAGAGAGAGTTAACAAAATGAATGACTACATTACACCTGAAGAAGATGGGGAAGCCAGATAACCTGCCAGCGTGCTTCTCTTTGACAGCCATTACGACACATGTACCTAGAAATATAATTTAGTCGGTTTTCAGGACATTGTCGTTTGAATGAGAACCGTTATCTTCAGGGCCCTGGAAGAAACCAGCTTCTGCTGGGGAAAAATGAAGACAGTAGGCACGTGCAGGGTGGTCCATCTCTGCAGCTCACCACTGGGTGAATAATGAGAATAGCTTTATTTGGAACATGCTCTGATCACCAAAGAGCTGCTGTGACAACACGTTGAAGAAGATGTCTATTACATTTATTGCTACTTAAAACTTTGGAGTTTGGGATGCCGAAGTGGGAGAAAGAAGCTTATCTATTCAGCTGTTCTGGATTCTAGAGTCACTTACCATTCTTATTGTTGTATGTCAAGAAAGTGGCATATTCAGAGGCTGTCATTCACTTCACTAATGGAATATGAATGTGGCCAGAGCAATAATCAATGCCTTGCTCTTTGTGAAGGATTATGGTTTGGCGAAATAGTAGGACCTTTAATTACCTGGGAAAAAATTGCAACTTTCCAATGTCTTTAATGTGTTCTCTATGACTTCCCTTACAAATGCCACCTGTCCGTGCTATTTTTATTTAGCTTAAATAAATTCCATGCATGTGAAAGGTGCCGGATTAACAGGTTTTTATTATTAAACCTTTTTAGAGTACTACGTTCTTTCTTAAGTTCCACGCAGGCAATTCCTTTGGTTATGTTTAGTAATATATTTTCATAGTGGTTAAGTCTTATTCTTATTTTTTAGATGAACATCCTGAAACATAAAATGTAAGAGATGGGCTTGGGGTCACAGAAAGTTAAGCACTGAGTCATTCTCTGTATTAGGCCATTATCACATTGCTATAAAGAAATACCTGAGACTGGATAATTTATAAAGAAATAAGGTTTAATGGACTCACAGTTCTGCAGGCTTTACAGGCAGCATGGTCTCAGCATCCGCTGGGCTTCTGGTGAAGCCTCGGGGAGCTTTCAATCACGGTGGAAGGTGAAGGGCGAACAGGCCCTTCACATGGTGAAGGCAGGAGCAAGCTGGAAAACGGTGGGGAAGACGCCACACTTTAAACAACCAGACCTACTAAGAACTCACTCCACTATGGCGAGGGCTGCACCAAGCCATTAGGGATGATGCCAAACCATTCACATGAAATCCAAGCCCAGAATCCATCCACCTCCCCCTGGGATTACAGTTCAACATGAGATTTGGCAGGGACATATATTCAAACTCTATCACTCTCCCAGCTCTGGGTGTGGCCCCCTGACACACACTGCGGTTACTGGGATAGGGTGGTTGATGAATGCTTGTATAGGATCTAAGAATATTCCCTAACAGCCTCACAGCTTATATCCAATAAACACTAAGAGAAGCTAATGTTCAACGTCGGGTGAAAACCACAAGTTCACATGTAAATCACTCAAAAATGGACACTTGAGAATGATATTGGAGAAAAAGAAATAAATAATGATTTTTTTAAAGAAAGAGACTTCTGATTTTGCTGCTTTTTGGAAAAAAAATAACTGTTGATGCCAACATATAGACAGATAAAGGGGAGGAAATTAAACCCTTGCATCCAAGTATGCTTACTGTCACAACCAAAGGGAAACAAACTATTTTTCTCTGGAGATATCTCTGGTCCCAGATATTGTCTCAACAATACCCCTTATTGAAAAACGTGTTTTCCTTTTATCTGGGCAATGTGCATTCAGCATCGACAGGGTAAAACGTTTAAGTTGACTTGCCAATACAAGGTAAAGTTTTTAAGATTCTATCTACAAATATCCTACCAGTCACTAAACTGGGAACATTTTCTTAATCATTGACAATTATGAAGAAAGAAGGGAGACAGGTATTTTGTTTTTCTTTTAGTTTACATTTTTATTAAGGTCTTCATGTTTATAAACTATTGCCAGTTTAAATTATATCACTTATCTGTTTATCTGTTGAGACCTTACCCTTCTCCAAATCAATTTGTGCATGAAATATTATATATTAGGATGCAAAAATTTTGACTATGGTGCTGGGTGTAAATATTTCTACAGTTTGTTGTTTACCCTTTAATTTTGTTTATCTAAAGAGATTTTGATAATCAGAATCTTATTTACTTAAATCTTCCATGACCAAAGCCATTTTCTCCGTAGCAAGTTTTTTCTCAACTTCTAAGCAGGAAAAGTTTCCTTCCATTTAGGAAGTCCATAGTTCATTTTCTTCCTGGCTTTTTGATAGACAGCTCATGGAAAGCTCCAGAAGCAAAGCTTACTTCTGCATTAGGTGCAGCTTAGTCTCCACACTCAACACCCAAGTGAAACACAGAAAGATGATGCATTTTAAATTTACTCTAAATCATTAAAGACTTCTCAAAGCACACACCCACGTCTAAACACACATTCTCATTTAAATGGGCTCCTCAGATAAAAGGACTGCCAAAGAAATGAGCAAGTGGAACATCACTAATTCAACTGTAATCCTTTCCCACTCACCTCTGAAAACTTTCCAGGACTACCACTTAGGTAAAAGATACTCTCCTTGAGATACCAGAATCTTTCCAAGTGGTATTCTGCATTTACGTTTAGAGCCCGCACCCCGACAAGATTGATCCCGTGACCTATAATTCTCAAATGGGGGATTTTCCAGCGGAGAAGTCCCAATCCCGTTTCTACTCGCACGCTCTGATTCGGGAACTCCTGGGGTGGTATTCTACTTATAGTCCCTTTACCCTGTGGATGCCGAGGGCTTTAACCCCATCTTTTACTTGGCCTGCAAAGTCCATTTTTCATTCTGACTCGTTTCCCTTGCCCCGTGTCCAGTGTTTCTCACTTGATAAGCTAGGTAATGTTTCCGGGGAGCGTATGAAGAATGCCTCAACACGTCTCTTCCATAACATTCCTCCCTGGTCTGTGACCTCACCAGCCCCCAAAAGAAAGGCAGGATCCACTCCCACTAGTCCTTCACCTCAGTATCCTCTGAGACAACCGAAAAGTGAATGAAAATCATGTGAGCATCATATGAGTTTTTCTTTTCCTTTGAAAACCTCATTCTCAGCAAACTGACACAAGAACAGAAAACCACAGGGTCCAAAGTGGCTCCAGCCGGAGGTCGTGGCGCTTGCGAAGGCGAGGTCATGAGTTCAAGGCTAACCTGAGCAACCTTATAAGCTCAAACTGATTGGCAAAAAAAAAAAAAAAAAAAAAAAAAAAACAGAAAATCAAACACCACATGTTCTAACTCATAAACGGGTGTTGAACAAGGAGAACACATGGACACAGGGAGGGGAACATCACACACTGGGGTTTGTTGGGGGATGGGGGGCTAGGGGAGGGATAGCAGGGAGTGGGGAGATTGGAGAGGGACAGCATTAGGAGGAATATCTAACGTAGGTGATGGGGGGATGGAGGCAGCCAACCAACATGGCATGTGTACCTATGTAACAATTCTCCAAGATCTGCACATGTAACTACAGAACTTAAAGTATAATATATATAATTATATATTATATATAAATATATATATAATATAATATAAAGTTAAAGTTTGAATGAAAGAGTGTTGAATGGTAAAGGAGAAGGAATTAGGAAGAAGACGTGGAGACAGTGAAGGAAAGGAAGCATGGGAGAGAGAGAGGAGAGGAAGGAGGGAGGGAGGGAATGACAGGAAAAAGAAAAAAAGAATGTCAGATATTGAGGAAGAGAGGGAGAGAAAACAAGAAGGAAGGGAGAGAGGGAGGAAGGAAGGAAGGGAGGGAGGGGAGGGAGGGAGGGAGGGAGGGAGGGAGGGAGGGAGGGAGGGAGGGAGGAAGAACGCAAAGACAGACAGAGATTCTGCCTGGTTCTATGTGAGCCGTAATTGACCCTAGATTTACAAATCTGTTTTTCTTCCTTCAAAGGAATAGCAAGATGGAAAATCCACATATTTATTTCCAGGGCCCTTGTATTTCATCAACAAATCCCCACAATATCTAGACCAACTCTATGGTTTACCGGTTTATCTTTATGAGCTACATAATAAAACAGTAAAGAAAATCAAGTGGTTTCTAATAACCTTTCAAAGTACTCTCTTTTCAGCAATCATAATAGAAGCAAATGTTTCTTTCCCTGCTGGGCCATGGCCTCTGCTTCTTTTATGATCCCCTGCTTAAATTAAATATTAGGTACCTCTGGCACGGGATGCTGGCGAGGAGAGAGAAACATCTTGAGGCAGGCTCTGCTGATGCTGTTTCTCAGTAAATACCTCAGGAAGGCCCTCCCAGAAGACAACACATCGGATACCTTGCCAAGACAAGCTTTCTTTTTCATCCTTTTATTTTTAGAAGTGCATCTGGGAAACCAAATGATGGTCTAAGCAGACTGTTGGACTATAAGGCAAGGACAATGATAAAAGCACTTCAGTGGCTGTTGGATTAAGATTCCACAGTCCAAGAAGAAAAGTTCTAGCAGAGGTGTGCTTAGGTGCATGTCTTTTTTTTTTTTTTTTTTTTTGCATTTTAGGTTTTGGGGTGCATGTGAAGAACATGCAAGATATTTGCAGAGTTACACACGTGGCACTGTGATTTGCTGCCTTCCTCCCCTTCACCTATATCTGGCATTTCTCCCCATGCTACCTCTCCCCAACTATGCGTGTCTTAAAACTCTCAATGCATATGTAATTTTTATTGATCACTTAAAAGAAGCGATAGGAAGACATGTGTTCAACTTGAACAATCCCTATTAATAAGGAAAAGAACTCAGTTAGCTTTTTAGGATTGCAGTCAAGAGTCTTGTTTTAGAAAACCTGCTAATGTCTTTAACTCATATTTATTGATTTGGAATTGAGTGTTGGACATTTCCCCATACTTCTAATACAATTTTGTTACATGAGATTTTACATGTAGTAGTTCTCTCTAAGCAGTTAAGATCTATATAAAAATATGATATTATTTATTCAATCATTCAGTAAACATTTCGCAATGCCTACCAGGCAAGAAGCCAGCCGTTGGTATACAAAGGTGAATAAGACATGGCCAAGCATGGTAGTTCACACCTATAATCCCAGCACTTTGGGAGGCCAAGGTGGGCGGACTGCTGGAGCCCAGAAGTTTGAGACCAGCCTGGGCAACATGGAAAGATGCTGTCTCTACTAAAAATAGAAAAATTAGCCAGGCATGGTGGCCCACACCTGTAGTCCCAGCTACTTGGGAGGTTGAGGTGGGAGGATCATTTGAGCCCAGGAGGTTGAGGCTGTAGTGAGCTGAGGTTGCACCACTGCACTCCAGCCTGGATGACAGAGCAAGACCCTGCAGGCAGAAAGGAAGGAAGGAAGGAAGGAAGGAAGGAAGGAAGGAAGGAAGGAAGGAAGGAAGGAAGACAGGGAGGGAGGGAGGAGGGAAGAGAGGGAGGGAAGGAGGGAGGGAGGAAGGGAGGAAGGGAGGGAGGGAAAAAGAAATGTCACTGTTTTTCTTACAGCATAATGTGTTACTACACGGCTGGCACCCCGTTTGTGGCATATCAAACACTAATATGTTACGTTCATCATACATTATCTATTCTCATGACCGTCAGGACCTAGGCATTTTATGACTTCTACTTTGTAGATGAGAAGATTAAAGCTCAGAAAAGTTAAATAACTTATCTAAGTCCTTCTGCTGAGAAATAGCAGAACTAGGATTTAAATTTAAGATTTTCTGACTCGAAAATTCATCCTTCTCTTTTCTTTGCTTTACTCTCAACTAGTCAGCATCATCTGGAATCATGGCTTGCTATACTTGTTCTATTAAGAGTACTTATTATTTGCCCTAGTGTTTATAATAAAAGACTAAAAAATTCAAGATAAACATTAAGTGGCTTAACAAAGTAGCAATTCAACTCAAATAACATTAAAATAATGTATCATATAAAGGAAGGAGCAAAATATGCACCATTTCTAGTACTCTCAGATATGATGTGGTTTTATGTTGAATGTAGCCTGTATTACTACGTATTTTCAAGATGCAAAAAAAAGTTCTGACAATGGTTGCATAGAACAATTTTTGGAACATTTTGATCTTTGCACATAGCTGTTTTGTGAGCCTCAATGTCTCACAAACTTTAAAAAGATTTTTTTCTTATGAGCAGAGATGATTCCCATTCTTGGGCTGAGCAAAACTTCACTTTATTTCCCTACTTACTGTAGACCTGGTTTTCTGGGAACGAATTAGGTTAACTGTCTTAGTGTTATACTCAACCACCTGCTTGACAGTGGAAACCCAGCTCAGGGCATGGTTCAAAGGGCTGTGTAATATCTCAGAAACCATCTGAACAAAGTTTTCCATGTTCACGAGCTTTTAATGTGCAATGAATGTCCCTAAGAAACCCACATGATGACACTGAAAAAGCACTCCTGTAGTTTTGGCTCAAAAAGAGGTGTGTTTTGGTAAATAAATACTATGCAATTATTTAGAATCTTCTTGGGGGAAAAGAGGTTAAAACTAGCAGGTTTTAAGAGTTGCCCTCTGGTTATCTGTTCATGTTTTTCAATATCGATTTTAACTATTCAGCTTTCCCTTATAAGGTGGAGAACATGTTTGCACTAAAGAGCCCCTGACTTTCTGGACAATTGAGCTGGAGAGCAGTGTTATTAGAAATAGATCTTGGATTTGGACATTTGCAAATATATAAACTAAATTTTTTTCTATTAAAAAATGGTGGGCTGGCTGTCAGGAGTGGTGAGTGGCCTTCAGAAATGGCAAGAGGATAAACTTCTCAGTTTAAAGGTTTAACATGTCGTGTTAGGAAAATGTCTCCCCAAATTTACCAAATGTTTTTTATTGTTGCTTTTGTTTTTTAAGCATGGTGGTACTTAAATGCAATGCATCATTAGATTATTAAAGAACATCTCAGGAAATACTGAGTACTATTTTTATCCCCATAATTAAGCATCTAGATATATACTGGATCTACTTGGAAAGTTTCCGAATTTCCCAAACGTAGAGCGCATATCAAGAGTCAAATCTAAACCACCTCTCTGTGGCAGTTGGGCTTCTAATTTATGGGTCAGGAAAGAATGAGGTCAGATGACCATTCAAGGGTCTATGATGATTCCGTGGAGCTTGTTCAAAATCTGGGCTGACAGTATTGTGTCCGCTGCAATTGGGACGCCACGTCTCACAAACTTTAAAAAGATCCTTTTCATATATAATAATATAATAGTAATTCTGAAAGAAGAACACTGAACCAGAAACCCTACCTCATATTCTTATGGTGAACCAATTAAGCCGTTAATTGGTCTAAGTTGTATTGCTGGGAATAGTTTAATTTTCTTAAATTCGACCTGGCTAATTATAAATGGATAGTTCCAAAGCACCTTAAGCACCTTCTCACTCACACAAACTCATTATTTTGGAAATGGTGTTGATGATTTGAAGGCAGCTGGCTTGGCTTCACCATCCACCTCACTGTCTTCTCGGATGAGTCACCATTTTCTCAAGTGAAGAGAGTTTTGCTGCGGCCACCGCTGTTGGAACGGCAGAAACTCCAGCCAACCACAGGTGGGGGCCCTCTGCCGCGCACATCATTAAGCAAATTGTCAGCTCAGTTTTAATTACAGCACTTTTATGACTGCGGGTGACGTAAGAGACACGGTGGGCACACCTTGTTTTCTCCAAGCCGGGCTGTGTTTGTAGTGCTGGATGTTGTGGCCAAAGCATTTTTCATCTTGCACAAACTGAGCTAATTTACGTGGGAACCCAGACCCTCTCAGTGTTGTTTGTACTGCATCAATTTGCAGAGTCTAATGAGCTCTTTTTAAAGAATGGAAAAAACCCTCCTTAGTTGCACTACTGAATACCCTTTTAAAGCCTGCCATGGAAAACAACGATGCTCAAACAGAAACACACGCACTTGAAAGAAAAAAAAAAAACAAAACAAAACTAGGCTCACCTTGTCCTAATTTATGGCCTAACATAAGAGAATAATGCTTCGACATCATAACATCACAAATGAGCCC